TGTTTTCGAGAAAACAAAAATGAGCATACCTGTGTGATCTCGGAGGACCCCTCCACTTGTGGCATGCTGATTAATTTTAGAATTACCATATACATTTAACTTGTATTTGCCTATAGAAGGTTTAATCCAATGCACAGTTTGAGGAGGTGTAAATTGCTTGGTAGGAAATTTAAAACCCCATAAAGTGGCTAGTGGTAATTCCCTTTCCACTGCCATTGTTCCAAAAGAGAACCTTCAAACATCTGTCTTAATAATTTCATGATCCGTCAAACAACTCTGTCAGGATACATACCCAAGTGCCTATGCTTTCCATCATTTCTTTCCAACCATAAAAACCAACATATAAATAATGAAAGTAAAATACCAATATGACCCTGTTTAGTATAATCACCAGAACAATACCATGCCCATATAATTTGAGAGATATGTTGAGGATTTAAGACATTGATTTGAAAGGAATTGGCAAAGATATTCCAGACGTGTCTCACCACTGGACTTTCTCAAAGGACATGCATTAAAGACTCCTTAGAGTTACAGCATAAACATTTAGAGGCCAAATGCATACCTTTTTTCTTCATTCAAAGTTCCACCGGTATCCAATCATTTACTACTCTCCATAAGAAAAAAAATCATTAGTGGTATACTTTTATGCCAAATGAGTGGACCCATAGTCATAAGAGGTTGCCGTTGCCTGACTGCCTCCCATGCACTCTTGGTAGAGAATTCTCCAGTGGATGTTAAAGTTCAATAAGCTACATCTTCCTATGAACTATTAATGGGAATCTTCAGAATATCATCAATTAATGTATTGGCAACACTAATTTTAGCTTATCCACATCTCAAACATCACCACTATAAAACTTATTAATAGTGGACATATTATTCTGAAATTCAGGGAACAATGTTACCAGAGTTTGTTCTCCAATCCAGCAATCATGCCAGAAGAAAAGCTCTCCTTTTCCTATCCTCCATCTAGTGTGTTAGAGTGTAGTCGTTTGACCATCTAGCATTCATTTCCATACTTGAGAGTCATGGAGTTTCAATTGAATATAATGACGTAATCAGCCCCTACAATATTTTGTTCTTAGAAACTGTGTCAATAGATTGTTACAAGTTTAAAATCTCCACCATAATTTCATTGTTAAGGCTTCAAAAGCATCTTTCAAATTTCAAATATCAAGCCCCTCTTCTGAACATGGGAAAGTGACTATATTCCAAGCTACCTAATGAATTTTCTTACATGGAGATGAATCACCCCAAAGGAAGCTATTAAAAAGCCTTTCAATCTTTTCAACCACAGTCACCAGGGGTTTAAGGGCTTGCAACAGGTAAATTGGAAGTGAAGATAAGACATTCTTTAATAAAGTGATCCATCCCCCAAGAGATAAAATCTTATTCTTCCATCTTGAAATTCGATCTCGTATTTTAGTGATTAAAGAATAAAAAAGGATTACCTTTTTTGGTCCTTTGTACAGAGGAGCTCCGAGATATATAATAGGAAATGTTTTGTGTAGAAAGTCGATTGTTTGCGATATGATTTGCTTTCTTGAAAGGGCACAACCATTAGTTGTGATAAAACAACCTTTTTGATGATTGGCCCGTGTTCGGATACATGTTCATATTCCTATAAAAAACTCAGAATCTTTTACAAGGCCAAACAGCATCCATTAGTAAAATAACTATATCATCAACAAAGGCAAGATGACTAACCGTTTGCGAACGATCGAACTGGTAATGCAAGGAGCTGTGCTGCTGAATAAATGATTAATGCCCCTAGAAAGATGTTCTACCGCCAAGATAAATAAAAGAGGTGAAATGGAATCCCCTTGCTGCAAACCTTTTTCTTATTTGAAGTAGCCCACCATAGCTCCATTGATTAATAGAGAAAACCAACAGTTAGAAATACATGTTCTTATCATCATAGATTCATGGTTGTACTCTTGGATTAACTATAATTACAAGAAACAATTCAATACTTGATATTAATTATTAGATGTCCAATTACAAATCTTATATTGTGAACCATCATAGCTATCCAATTACAAAAGGTGAAATTACGATTTTACCTTTTATGTCACATTTGTCCCTTAGTCTCAAATTTCATCTAAATAGTGATTCAATACTCTAGATCTAATCTTTTGAGTATCTAAATGTGATGAATAGCTAAATCATCAATCCACTGGCCCAAATTAATAACCAATTTTTCTGAAATCAGTAAAAGTGATGTTAATGCTATAAACTCCATTATTTTGATATATGTTTCTAGATGTTCATCTTGATTATAATCCCAAAATACAGAGTCTAGATCAATGCTTGATAATGATCATGCTCATGGTAAATCAAAATTATAAGGAGATTACACATGAGTCCACTATTCACCAAGATTTTAATTTTACTATAAGCAAATACATAAGTGTGAGATCAAGATTTAAGTAACGGTTAAAGTCAAATTTGATTCTCACATGATTCCAGTTCATGTTATATTGTTATTACTTGAAGTTAACCATTTTGATGATTGAGACTCATCATTCCCTTAAAGTGAATCACATTTATTTCGTTGGAAGTAATCTGGACACTATAGCCTTAACATAATAAAGAGACCAACTTTATTTTATGGCTATGAATAATTTTTAAATTCAATTAAAATATATGCCTCTTATGTATGACTATTCATACAAATGTATTTTAATATCTCAATAGAATCATAGTTTCTTAATAACTAGAAAATAAATGGTTACTTAAAAAAAAAACTTTTCGTCTAATTATCAAAATGTACTTTTATTACAAATTTTAATGAAATTAAGCATGAGAATGTACTTGCTTTCCAAGGCACCATATTCTTAAAATTCTTAATAATAAGAGTATTTCATAAACATGTACTTGTAATCTCGTGACATTCATAAACAATTTAATCACGGAATTTATAAAAACATATTATTTGATTTGAATACATTTGAATAGCATTCTTCTGAAAACATGTTAATATAAACCTTTGGAAATCCTTTACCTTCAAAATTCTCATCAAATTCAACAAAGCAACCTATTCTACCCCAAATATATTGATACGTTCTTGAATGTATCGATACTTTCAAGCATCTATCAATACATTAGAAAAATGTATTGATACATTTCACACAAAAGGCCTCTTGAAGCATTTTGTTTAGAATGTATGGATACTTAACTCATATGTATCAATACTTTCAACCATGAACCCAAATTTTCGAGCAAAATCCTCCATTTTTATAATTTTTTAAGTTCCTTTACCCCTTAGGACTTTCTCTAGGGCTTAGTCTTTTTCACTAAGCACATCCTCATGCCATCATAGAGTATAAGTCATGAATAATGCTCAAATAACATTAGTATGCAACATACCATAAGCAGAATAATTATGATCATTCCATTAACATTAAACTCATGCTTTGTAATGGTACATCCCCCATCACCTTAGGTTAGCAACGTACATCTCCATTGCCCTTGGGCGTTTATGATACATTATAGGAGTAAAGTTGTCACTTACACCCCATGAGAGTGAAATCAATCATACTCATAGAGTTCTCATAATCGTAACATTAGGTTTGTAGAATGTCCTTCACTTATAAGCTTATTCATTTCATAATGTATATGGAAAATACATTATAGACATAATCTCATCGCATTCATCATGCTTTCTCAATCATCTCGTGTAGTATATGGAATATACACCATATACATAATCTCATGGCATTTATTATGCATACTTAATCACCTTATATGGTTTATGAATTTTACATCATATACACAATCTTATAGTATATATCATGCATACTTTATCATCTCATATGGTATATGGAATTTACATCATACACATAATCTTATGACATTCATCATACCAAACATGCACATTATACCATCTACAAAAAAACATACAATATCTCATTCCCACACTAGTCCAAAAATCAAAGTAATTGAGTGGACTTCAAACATAAAGTTCTTGTCCCCTTTGTTGAAAACTAATACATAGTAGAATATTTACATACATGGTAGATTCGCAAACAATTTGAAAATCATTGTATCAATTATATCACTATCATATCAAGTAAACAAGCAAACATATCAAGTAAGCATAGTAAAATAGAAACTATGGGCAAGATGAATAAACCCTAACCAGCAGAGCAAAGTGTTAAAAACACAAATCAAGTCAATACATGCAAAGCTAAGTGTAACAAGAAATGAAACGAAAAATATTTCAATTCTTCCTCTTTCATAACAAAAAAGAGATCACAAATCTTAAACACTTTAGGGCAAGAGCAAAACACGACAAAGAAACCAAAACAAGATGAGAGGATGATAGAGGATAAATTAATGAAACAATACCTAAAAACCATAACTAGCAAATAAATGAACAATGAGAAAAACCCTAGGCAACAGCCCTAAAGAATATTAAAAAATGAAAAAATGGCAAAGAATGAAAAAAGAAGAAAAATCATGAAAAAATACTCAAAAAAGAAACATAACTAGCAAATTCAATGAACAGTGAAAGAACCCTCAGAGATAAACATTGAAGAAAAGATATGGCAAAGAACAAAGGAAGAAGAAAAATAAAGAGCAAAACGAGAGAATGAGAAAATAGTGAAGAAACCTAGGCGGTAGACGAAACCACAATGTCTATTCTAAAGCAAAGGAAACCTAAGCGGCAACACACGAAACGAGAAAATGAAGGAAATAGAAGAAAGACAAAAAAAAAGGAAAAAAGAATGCACAAGATAAAATACCCTTGACATCTGTATTGAAGGGACGAAAACACCCTCTATATCATAAATAAAAAGTTCAAAATACCTTTCGAATTTCATAAAATCACATAACCACATATAAATGATAAGAAAACCCCCAAAAACCCTTGATATCTTGGCAAATGACATGGACACATGTCACGCTGTGAGGGCTATACGTAGGCTAAAATAAATATATTTTATATTTAAAAAGATGGAAAAGTCACTGAAAAAAACATGAAAATGAAAACTAAAGGGGAATGTTTGGTTGTTTAGCTCAGTGTAATTGCTTCCACTGTTTGGGTCCGAATCATATCGCACGCGTCCAAACTAAAAGGCCCAGAAAAACCCCGTTTCCGTTTTCGATAAAGTTTTCCTTTTTTTCTTTTTCTCTCAAAATTTCTGTTTCAGAGCTGATCTCTAGCCTAGCCGTTACCAATCTCCCGTTCTCTCTCTCAGGTGATTGAACTTTCTTGATCTATTCTTCAATTTTCAGCCATATTGTCGTTTCTCGAATGTATTAAATAATCTTCAGATCTGTTCCGTGTGTGGTAATTTAAGTTTAATTTAGATTCATAGTTTCTAGACTGAAGTTCTGGTAGATTTGACATGAATCCATTTTCGAATTTTTTATGCTGGGTTGTTTTCTTTCTATCTTTTTTAGAAAAGTTGGTTTTTTTTCTTATGCTCTAGATTAATTGGATTCTTTTTTATATTGTTATGATTTCTGGGATTGATTTTGTTTGGTCGGTATCTCTTAAATTTTTGTGTTGTTTCCGTTTAATTGTTTGAAAACTTGTTTCTTTTCTTTTGGGATCATAAATCCTTTTGAGATGAGTATCATTTGTTGCATCTTCAACGTTGCTATGAAGCCAAGTTGTGCATTTTGATATTCAAGAGAGTTAAAGGTTTTAACTTTTTAATTCTTGAAAATATTTGTTGTTTCTGTATCCCAACACGCTCTTTTGTTGAAGGAAAAGCTAGTAGCGAAGGAATAATCAAACAGAGCCTTAGTGATTTCTTACTAGTTAGAAATGCCCACGATGTTACCTATTAGATTGCTGTTGCATGTAAAATTGTTTGTGAATTACTTGAAATTACATGGGTGGTTTAAATATTATTGATCGATGTATATTTGATATGACTTTGGATATTTAAATTTGAAGATACAAGGAGCTGCTAGTTGGAGTTCAAAAGATGCCTGCACAGAGAATTGAGACAGGTCATGAGGACACAGTCCATGATGTAGCCATGGATTTTTATGGAAAGCGTTTGGCGACTGCCTCATCTGATACTACTGTTAAGATCATTGGTATAACCAGCTCTGGTTCTCAGCAACTTGCTATTCTTCATGGCCATAAAGGACCTATTTGGGAGGTTGCTTGGGCACATCCCAAGTTTGGATCGGTCCTTGCATCTTGTTCTTATGATGGCCAGGTGATAATATGGAAGGAAGGTAATCCAAATGAGTGGGTTCAGGCTCAAGTTTTTAATGATCATAAGTCATCTGTGAACTCAATTGCATGGGCACCCCATGAAGTTGGCCTTTGTTTGGCTTGTGGATCTTCTGATGGGAATATCTCAGTCTTCACCGCCAGGGCTGATGGTGGTTGGGATACCACCAGGATTGACCAAGCTCACCCTGTTGGAGTGACCTCAGTTTCATGGGCACCATCAACAGCACCAGGTGCTTTAGTTGGATCTGGTCTACTGGATCCTGTTCAGAAGCTGGCATCTGGCGGGTATGACAATACCGTGAAAGTCTGGAAGCTGTATAATGGGACTTGGAAGATGGACTGCTTTCCTGCCCTCCAGATGCATACTGATTGGGTGAGCGATGTTGCTTGGGCACCCAACTTGGGGCTTCCAAAATCCACCATTGCAAGTGCTTCTCAGGACGGGACCGTTGTTATATGGGCTTGTGCTAAAGAAGGGGAACAATGGGAGGGTAAGGTTTTGAAGGATTTGAAGACCCCAGTTTGGAGGGTCTCATGGTCGCTGACTGGGAATTTACTGTCTGTTGCCGATGGGAATAACAATGTAACCTTGTGGAAAGACGCAGTTGATGGTGAGTGGCAACAAGTGGGTACTGTTGAGCCATGAATTTCAGATTCTTTGTTTCTTCTCTCTGCAGTCATTTTAATATTTTTTTGGACTTGTCAACTTCAAGTCTATCGGTCTGTTATTACTATTTTCTAATTGATTTTTGTTTTGAGTATTTCAAATGTGTTGGATTGTTGTAATTTTTTCTTGGCAAACACAGGTCAAAGAATGATGGTTAATTAGCCTTATAACATTTCCCTGCTATCAAATTTTATCATTTGTCATATGTTTTTAACCATTTTTATTTTAGTTATTTGAAAGCTTCAAAATTGAGGCTTGCTATGCTAGCGTGCTTTGATGCTTTTGTTTTAGATAGGTTACACTTTACACAATCTCAGCTTCATCAAGAGTAAATCTTGAGCATGGTTTCTTTATTCTGAAGTGACGGTTCTAGCAAGCATCTATATGATAGGTCCTTGACTGTCTTAGCTCATGCTTTAGTTGAGTGTTGGGATGATGCAGTTGCAGAAAGGCATTCAGCCCCACCCTTCCCACGCAGAGGTCGTAGGGAAGGTGTTGCTGCTCTTGCACACCTCCTGAAACCAATATTTTTCAATTCCATAACAGTCCAATGAAGTATGGGTTGTGAGTACGCGAAGAAACTAACTACTACCCTTTTACTTTTAGATAGTTGGAGAACAGATTCGCTGCTTATTTAAAAAAGAAAAAAATTAATCAATGAGCAACATCCAAGGAATCACAAGGGAAACCGAGTCTTTGTATTGTGACCTTGTGTGGGATTTTTATTCCCAAATTTTTAACTTGAGAGCAGCAGCAAGCACGTGAAGAGGTGAAGGTAAAACAGATTCAGTCTCGAGAGTCGAGACCGGCCGGCGCCTTTCTTTCCAAACCTTTCACTTCTCCTTTGGCGCCAACCCTGTTCACTAACCTGAAATTTCATTTTTGCCCCTTAACATGCTTTTTATCCAATAAAAATTCTAATATTTCGAAGAATTATAAATTCAAAAACTACATGTTCCAACGCTTGCATCCAAATACTTAACCCTTGACAAAAGAGAAAAGCAAAACAGAAATGAAATTAATTTTCCTTTCTTTTCATTTTAGTTAAGAAGCCCAACTAGAAGGCCCAATGACAAAAGAGTAATTTCAGATCGCAGCGCGGTTCAAGATCTCAATTTGAATTCGCGCGACCCACAGCCAACGTAAAATAAAACTAGATCTGATTTCACATTTGAATTCCCAAACCCGCCAACCAAGTCTTCTCTCTCTTTTCTTCTCTTTCTCTCAAGCCAAACACAAAACACGATTCCACTTTCACTTCTCTGGATTCTCGGGAAAACGTCCATGTCTTCGTTTCTTTCTCGAGAATCTGAACCTGATTCACGTACTTTTTACTGCCGCAAAGAGAAATCTCTCGGCCTTTTATGCTCCAAGTAGTTAAATCCTTCCTCAACTCCTTGAAGCTTCTCAGATTTGATCTTGCTCAATCTTTAAGCTCTTTTAATGTGTTTTCTTTATTTTCTGTATATCAGTTTCTTGGAGTTGTATAACCATGACAGCATTCAAACGATTGGACTTGACGATGCAGCTTCAAAATTAGGTCCTTTATCCATGTTCTATTCATTGCTGAGAAACTATATATCTTTGTAATTTTTGTTTACCAAAGTTGGATATATTTTGGATTTTGCATTAATTACAATTGATTAGTTAAGTTTTAAGCTTGAAACTCGATTACAATTATTAACTTGCTTCATTGAAACTGTTTTGGATATTCCAGGAGTTGAACGTCGTCGTATATATGATGTAGTGAATATATTGGAGAGTATTGGAGTAAGATACATTTTTTTTTTGACCATTTATATATTTCTTATTATCGGTATACTTGTTGTATGGAATAGCTTGAGCAGGTTTTGGCCTTTGTTTGTCTAGGTTGTGGCAAGAAAAGGGAAGAACCAATACTCATGGAAGGGTTTTGGAGAAATTCCAAGGGCTTTGGAGAAGCTTAAGGTAGAGTTTAAATTTCTATTTTTCATTTCACCTCACAGTTTTGTCTTTAAATAAATTATTTTAAAGTTGAAGGACCTGAACTGTCATGTTTTCTGCTTACAGGAAGAGGCTCTGAAAGAGAATTTTTATATTTCTGGTTGCAACAAATCATTAAGGGTAGAATTCTTGTTTTAGTTCCCTTACTCCATGGGTTTGTTGAGAAAGTTTTAGTCCCAATGAAACTTCAAGTAATTTGATCTTTCAATGACTGGAACTGAGACTGTTGTTAACATGTCTTAGTGATCTAGTATAAGTGGGAAACTAAATCTAATATATCTTATAATCTAGTTTGATTCAGTTTAATGCCTTTATTTTGAACTAAAATTGTAAATCTTTAAGGAGTGTACAACTTTGTTTTTTCGACATTTTTTTTTAAAGGTTTTTCCACATTTTCTAATAGTGGCCTTATCAACATCCCGCTGTTCCTATGTTTTATTTAGTTGGACTATTTAATTTGCTCAGGTCTTAGATGAAAATGAAAGTGGAGGGTCTTTTAACGTGAAGATTGATGGGCAAGATAATAGTTCGGAATCATCAAAACATATCGGTAATAAGACCTTTTTTGTTCTGTTCTTGTCCTATGATATGTTAATATATCACTTTGCAACACAGATTATTGCTCACGTACAGTCATTCATGCATGGAACACGATTATTGTAAAGAATTTTCATTTTTAACTATTTCTATCTATTTACTCAGCATTACTGTTTGTGTGCTTAGATACCAAAAGAGAAAAATCTCTTTGGCTTATCACGCAGAACTTTGTCAAGCTTTTCCTTTGTTCAGATGTAAGAAAACTTCTTTTCAATGTGGGTTTGCTGTTTATGAATTGTTTGTTAGCCCTGTCTGGTGAATATCTGATTTCTTTTCTACAGGCTGAAATTATCACTCTTGATAGTGCTGCGGTTGCTTTGCTGGGTGATGTCCACAATTCAACTGCTATGAGAAGTAATTGAACAAACCGTCATTAGCGTCATATCTGAAATTTTACACTGCCAATCACTTATGATCTTTTCCCGTAACAATTTTGCAGCAAAAGTTAGACGATTGTATGACATTGCCAATGTGTTTTCTTCCATGAATTTAATTGAGAAGGTATGGTCATATCGCCAAAAGTATATCCAAATCCAGCCCTGAAAGCAACCAAAAATTTGTCTATTGCTCCTTACTAGTACTTTATTTGCTCGATGGATTTCAGACCCACCACCCCGAAAGCAGGAAACCGGCATTTAGGTGGCTGGGATGGGGAGCCAAACTTCATAATGGATCAACGACAGCTTTGGCTTTGAATGAATCAAAGAAGAGGATGTTTGGAACCGAGATTGCAAACCACAGTTTAAAGAGAATGAAGGCAAACACCTCAGTTCATCGGAAGTTAAACCAGAAGGAAAATATGGCAATGCATATTAAACACGAGTGTGTAGAAAAAGATAACAAAATGGAGCAGCATCTAAAGCAGAGCTCCAGAGGTTTTGTGTTCGGCCCTTTTACTCCAGGGGGTATGCCCACAGGAAACAAAAATGAGAGACCAGTTGGGGACTGGGAGAGCCTTGCGTCTACGTATAAACCTCATTATCTTAATCAAGGTACCTTCTTTGATTCATTGCTTAAAATACACATTATTGACCATGCATGATTAATAAGTGGTGCAGCAAAATTCTGGCACCATTTGATGGTTGATTAAGCACAGAAAGGACTCCAGCAACTTCTCTTGTAGCCACTTTTATTCCCACCAATGAGAGGGCTATCTTTTGTCATAGTTCATGGTGTTTGGACAAGAAAAAAAATGTTGAAATTCTTAGTAGTCCGTTATGATAAAATAACTCATCAATCACAGTGTTTACCCTCAGAACATAATGGAATCTGTAACCGGATTGTTCTTCTGTCTTGTATGTCATGTGTCGTCATATTATACTCCAAACCATGGCCATTGTAATTGCATGATATGGTTCTGTTAATGGTGTTGCAGCTCTTAGTGACCTCTTTGCTCATTACATGGAAGCATGGAAGTCTTGGTATGCAGAAGTTGCCGGAAGAGGAGAAACTCATTTAAGTCCCTGACCCTCTTCTCTCTTTTTCTAACTCAAGATCACCAAACACACAAGTTCAAAATGGAAAGCAAACATGTTTTACAGGTCTGTGACACTTTGTTGGATGTATTTTCTCAATCCAACCGTCCCCCGTAATGAATTAATCATAACCTTTCACTTGATGCATTTCCTAATTCTCACTTTAAGCTTGCAGCTCCCACGTGACCTCTTTCATTTTTTCTCGTTAGAAACTTGAACATGCAACAAGTTCCTGAATTTAGTTTTGTATCTAAGTTACAGATTAAAGAAAGAAGAGAATTATTGTGAATTTGAAGGGTTTTTTTTTTTTTGTTTTTGTTATATTAGAGAAGTGAAGGATTTAACTTCGTTTCCAGGTTCCTAAACAATTTGCGCTGAGATTTGTGTTTTCCCTAACTTCTGTTAATGAATGGTCTCCAATTCCTTTGTTCGCTAGTCCTTTCAATTTTTTTATTCTTCTTTGTCAGGACAGCATGCAGTGCACATACATAGATTAGATGCGATACCCAAAACAGCTAAGCTACGTGGGCTACATTCTTCAGTTTTCTGACTTGTGTGAAAAGCTAAGACGTGGTGACTCTGCTTCCTGTTTGCCAACGTCACCTTGATTCCACATTGGGGTCCTCCCTCGTTTGAAATTACCGGCTAAATCCTCCGAAGTTCAACATAATTTCAGGTTCCCATCAACAGCAATCATACCATTGTTTCTGTTCACATCATGGTGAATTTGTCCTAACCTCAAGAATCCTTATCTCACCCAGGCTTAGAATTTTCAAACTTTGCAGATATCACAAAGGGGGTCAAAATCACAGGTTTTGTGGTGCTCAAGTGTTTGCTGAGAAACCATGAGAGCCACATGCGCCCCACTTGTTCGTTGTCCCAATTTTGACAAACGTGATTTTACTGAGACAACGAACAATGGGCCTACCAACGTTTAGTGCTTTTTCTTGAACCAACCATCAATGGGTTTTTGCCTAATTCGGCTCTTGCTTTTTGTATCATGGAATGACCCCTGGGTGAGGGGGAAAGTGAAACCCGAAACATTAATCACAAGTTGGACAAAATCACCAACACTGTTTACTGTTTTCCATGACTTAAGATGACTGGGTTCATTCCCTTTGACGCCAGATAAAGTAGTTTCGTCCCCTCCTACTAAGCATGCATTGATGCCAAACAACCTTCTCTCCCCTGCTCACCCACGTTGTTAATTTTAAGTAACTTCTTTTAATATCCTTATCTTCTCAAAATGTTGGTTACGTAAAAATAAATATTATAATAATAATAATAATTTGTTATTCTTTAAATAATCAAAATACAAAAAAATGAATAAATATTAATTCATTTTCTAAGGCTTCTTCGATTAATATTTTTTAGAATTTTAAATATAGTGATTATGTAATTAACTCAAAATAAAGGGACATAAACGATTTTTGAAATAATTATAAAAAATCCAGCATTAGCTGTCCTAAAATACGAGTAACAAAACGGAAACTCAGCAAACAAAAACGAATAACAAAACGAAGAAAGAGCTCTGGAAGCTCTCAGCTCTCTGATGGCATCAACAGCCACAGGCCGCGCCGTTATCTTCTCCCGCATCACAGCCCTCTCAACCAAGCCTCTCCCCTCTTCTCTCTCTCGCTTTCTCCCTATCCGCCGCAACCGCCCCTCCGCCGTAACTGTGAGCTGCTTAAACGGTGGCGGAGTCTACGATGACTACTTCGTATCAACACAGAAATCGAATTTAGATCGTGGATTCTTAGTAATAGCTAATATGTTAAAACACATCGAACCTCTCGACACTTCGGTTATTTCCAAGGGGGTTTCTGATTCCGCCAAGGAATCGATGAAGCGGACTATCTCAACTATGCTAGGGATTCTCCCCTCTGATCAGTTCTCCGTTTTGGTTTCCCTCTCGAAACCTCCTCTTCGTCGCCTCCTCTTCTCTTCTATCATCACAGGGTAAAATCTCAATTCCAACCTTGAAAAGATAAAATTTTTCTGTAATTTGTTGCTTTCTAAGAAGAGTGATTTTTTTTTTCTTCCTTAGGTATACGTTGTGGAACGCGGAGTATAGGATTTCGTTGATGAGGAATCTGGAGAGAGCGGCGCCAGCTGAGGAGATCGATGAGGGTTTAAGGCGGCGGCAGAGAGAGGCTGTGGAGGAGAAGAGGGAGGAGACAGAAGGTGGAAGTGCTGGATTTGAAGAGTTGGAGAAGATAACGCCGAGGGTTTTCGGGGATTTGTCGCGGGAGGCTTTGAATTATATTGAGAAGCTGCAGGCTGAGTTATCTGATGTTGAAGCGGTAAGGATCTTAGATTTTATATAAAAACATTTTCTTCATAAAATATATTATATGTATGCTTTAATTGAAAAAAAAATGGTTGTAAACTTGTAATTATTTATAATTAAAGATTGGAAAGATGCAAAATTTGAAGGTTTTTTTATTCTTATTAAAATGATTGTAAGTTGGGTGTTCTTGCTTAATTTGCAGTTGCAAATTAGTTAAATGATGTTTGATTGTTGTGAACAATTCGGAGGTAATTATTTCTTTGCTAAAATTATCTGTAGATTTTCTAGCTTCTAAAAGTTGTTGGTTATTGAAATTCTGGTTTCCTGCTTGAGTTTGTAGAGATTGGAAGCATTTTTCTGTTTTGTTGTCTACTCCGTGTATACCATTCTACTCATACACACACCTGCAACAAGTGGTGGTTTCTTAAATTTGCTGCATAGATGATTTCGAATAGAAAAATTCAGAAAATTATGGCTGTTGCTGTACCCATTTAGCCTAACTTACAAATGCCAATGCATGATTAAGTCGCGCTTACTCATTTCGCATTCCTACTGATCTTGCATTGTGTTGCAAATATCAAACATGCATTGACATTATAAATTTCCCCCTCTGAACAGCTGAACTTACAATTTTCAGCTCTCTTAAGTCTCTATTTATATACTTAGATATACTTACTTGTGTACGTATTGTCTAGACTTTTCAAAGTGTAAGAGACAAAACAAAAGGAAAGACTGGAATGCCATTTGTTTTAATTGCAAATTTTCTTTGTTATGCTTTTACATTGCTTGATATGAATGCTAGTAGATGGCCAAAGAAACGGATATGGAATATACTACTACTAGATTTCAATTTAAAATTTAATTGCATTGCTTATTCCTCACTTGATCTCTGGGATTTAGAGGGCTGCAGCAACAAGCATTTTTTGGCAATCAATTTTATATTTTCCTTTTGTTTTCTTCTTATGTGGGTTTTCTGAAGTTTGACATACACAAGCAGTTGTTTAGTGTTGATTTCTTTATGTACATGAATCCATTGTTCCTAAAATTGGTGGATCATAGTATTCAAGGCTTTGCCATTAGTTTGGTAAATATAAATGCATGTCTGAATGAGAAAAGTTATTAATGCTTTCGTTTGCTATATGTTGTGTTGATAACCTGTTTCCCATGTTCCTTCCATGTAAGCTAGTTATCCTATGTTATTTCAGGAGCTGAATGCCCAAAAGAAGGAAAATGTGCGAATAGAATGTGGCAGGGAAAACAGGAATGATTTGTTAGAGTATTTACGATCTTTGGATGCCAACATGGTATTACCAACAAATGTTTCTTTATTGGATTATCTTTCTCTAAAATTGAATTATCTTTGTTTCGTCCTACAACTGACTTGAAACGTCTTCTCATTATATGTAATTTTTGTTGCCAGGTGACTGAATTATCCCAGCCATCATCTGTACAGGTGGAGGAAATAATCCACCAGCTTGTTCAAAATGTATTGCAAAGATTCTTCAAGGATGAGCTTACCTCTGACTTTATGAGAGATTCAGGGATAGTAAACACGGGAAATCGCCAAGATGCTTCTGATGAAAATTGTGGCACTGTTGGCACTTCCCGTGATTACCTTGCAAAGCTGCTTTTCTGGTACATATTTTTTTTCCATGTTATTAATTTAATTCTCTTGCTTTTTCCAAGTTAAATGTTTGCTAAAGGAGGGTGCATTAGGCTTTTCTTGCACTACCTGCTAATGCACAACCCACACCACATGCATGTGCATTTTAGTTGGAGAGATGGAGGGTGGATAAGAAAATTTATAGGGCTCATTGACTTGAAAGGGAATTCCTGGTTTTCATTCATAACATAACTGAAAGCTCAGCAATTTTTTGTTCCAAAGATAACCACTTCTCTGTTCTATTGTATGTATCAAGCATAGTTCTATTCTTTCTCATTTTTCTCTATTACCTATCCGTTATATTTCCGGTAGGAATTGTAACACTAAGGTTGTCTTTTCTTTGAGCAGGTGTATGCTATTGGGTCATCATTTGAGAGGCTTGGAAAACAGATTGCAACTAAGTTGTGTTGTTGGATTATTGTAAAGTAAGGCGAATTGAGAAATGTATATTCTTTTTCTTTTTGGCCACTTTTCCTTTGTTATAGTTTTGGTTAATCCGATAATGCACATTCTTTTCTCTATTAATGCTTATCTCATCAATTTTCTTCAACCTGCTCTCACGAACCAGTATTGATTCACTGTAAAAAAATAGTTGAAAGATCATTGATGGAGTTGTGGCTGAGCAGTTTGTTCCCAAAATAAGAACCTTAATTCATTTTACAAGTGTTGGCCCCCTGTAGTTCTTATCTAAGTCCCAGGCACAAAGTATTGATTAAGCTTGCTTCACTTGTTTTGGCGTGGATTCCCAGGGTGCATTGTGAAAGAGGGATTGCACTTGCAGAAATAATTAACACTGCGTCCAGCCTAGCAGGCACCCCATAACTGCTATGCACCAATCAAAAGTAACAAATAAGGTAATCCAAAAAAGATAGTAACAAAAATCTATGAATTACTCGAGTACCTTTAAATGGTTTGCATTCAAAAAATAACTCCCGATTCAAAGAACTGAAACAATATTCCGCGCCTTCTTTTGTGTCTATTTACACAGAAAAGATTGTCAAAAAGAATAGAAGAGAAATTATACAATTAAATCACAAGGAATCCGATGAAAATCTAGGCAATTCTTGTCTTGGTTGTTTATGTTGCTGATGTCCCTGAAATTTTTTTATGAAGATCATAAGGTGCCCAAAGGAAGTCAACCGGGCAGGGTCTCCCCGCATCTAGCCTGACCCATGGCTTCCCTCTACCACTCCAATGCAGCAAACTTACGGGACCTGGATGCAAAGACCTGCAACTATTCACCAAATTATCTCCACCAAGCCCATGTTGGTTCCATCTATGATCGATGGCCTCAACATCTCCGCCGAAAACCAACAGAAATGGTGGAAGAGAACCCAACTCATAAATCCTTTTCTCCTTCTGAATTCTCATCCATCTCTCAATCTTTCTTGTGTAGTCGCCTTCTCTCCACCTTGCCAAATCCATCACCATCACTCCTGTATTGAAATAACAAGGCCTTTTCCCTTCAAAAACCCTGGATAACTCAGGGTCTGACCAGAATTCACTAGTGAAATACTTGGCCAAGTTTGCATGACAGTACTCTGGAGCTCCAATGGTTCTTGATCCAGTTAAATTTATCCTCCAAAGCTTTTGGATGTCATCTACAACAATGGTATCAGAATCTAGGTAGATTACACGTTCAACGCAGGCCTCAAATATATCAGCTAAGTAACTTCTTGCATAATTTAAAGGGTTGTCAAGAGCTTGGCGGATAGAAGATGAGATGAGATTCCTGACAAGATTTTCCTGGAAGACATAAACCTTGAAACTCAAAGATGGAAATGCAGACTTGACGATCTGAGTAAGGTCATTTGCATTAACGAAGCTCGAATCGGAGGCAATGAGGTGAAAGAATACATTTTCTGGACAAGAACTATGCTTGACAACTGAATGAATTGCCGCTGTGCTACCTCTCAGATACTGAGGATCAATAGTCATTGCAATATGAACGACGGAAGGGTCACACAACAAACTTTCTTCAGCCAAAACGGGACATTCAGGTCCATTGTGATACTCTGGTGCCTCCGCAAACTTCATGAACAAATCTGATTCCCTTTCTGTTTCATCCCCTCGGCTGCTTGTAACCTTTTCTGCAAACAACCTGATTGCATTTACAGGGAAAAGAAGCAAAGAAGCCAAGAAAAAAACCCCAAAAACTGATCTAGAAACAAACATCGTATCCAAGTATGAAAGCAAAAGGGGAACTGGGTTTCCGTTCTGGTTTCTTATGAAGTAAGTATTGCAGAACTACTGCTCCAAATGGAACTGAAACGAAGAGAAATTAAAAAGCAAAGTGTATTTTATAGGAACAGAAGAAAGATTGAAAGAGCCAACGAAGATTTAGACAAGTCCAAGTACGTCTGCTTTTCCAATGGGGGACG